CTTAGTATCTAGTTAATAACTAGTTTTGGAGCACCTGCTGGGTGCCATGGAGCCCATTGTAGGGGTGGTTAATCCAGCCTTAGGGGAAAGGGGAGGTCTCTAAAGAGAATCCGTGTGTAACCTGGACTTAGAACACACAGGCGGACGAGGGAAGGGACTCTCTGAAAGGAGAACTTACAAGAAAAAACACATCTCACCCAAGGAAGATTAACGAGACCACACGTGTGGTGCTCTGGCCAGGAAGTGCGGAAGTTGGGTGAGCTGAGGACTGGGGAGAGCGCGGACATGCTGGCATTGCTGTGTTAGAAGGTGGAGCAGGTGTGCTGCGGGGCTGTAGGCGGCAAGGTGACCAGGGTGGGCCGCATGATTGCTGCTGCGTGGACCACACGCCCTGCTCGCGCTCTGACCATACAGTGCTTTACCGGCTCGGGCTTGCAGAGTCCCCACCAAGACCCTCACCAGTTCCGCGACCCTGGACTTCCAAACCCCTAAGTGGAAAAATCTGCACTCCTTTATAAATCACCCGACTCAGGCATTCAGTTATTCAGCAACAGACCGAGAAGGAAAACATGTGGCACGTACTTTGCTGTCACCAGAGACAGGAACCTGGAGGGGAGACGGGGCCAGGTTCCAGAGGCTCCCAGCTGGCCGGCGTGGCTTCTGCTCCTGCATGGCACAGCAGAGAAGGCCCTGTGTTTGCCTCGCATGGTAGGCTTTCCTGTCTGACACAGATCACGAAGGCACCCCACGAAGGAGGAGTGGAAGAGGGAGGAAAGCCATAGGAGTCCTTTTTGGTAAATGAGAGGATGGTGGAAGTAGAGAAGGGGGAGAAAGAAGAAAGGAGAAAAGTACTTTCTTTTCACATTTTTTGACAGACGGACATTCATTCACCAGAGAAAGAAGGAAAGTGAGAAAGCACGTGCATGCACACACACACACACACACACACACGCACACACACACACACACGCACACACACACACACACACACACACCCCTCGGAGACTGGTCATACTTCAACCCTTTCTCCTCCATTGCTCCCTCCTTTTGGGATTTTGGGCACTCACGCACACACTCCAACCCATTCTGTGTGGGAGGCAACCCATGTAGTTGGCCACATTCACCCTAACTGCCAGGTCTGAGGCTGGTCCAGAAAGGTACTTTGAAAGGACTGGCTGCATTGCAGTCCTCCCTGCCCCGGACTCCTGGCTAGCTAGGACCACAGACGCACCCCACCGTGCACAGCGCTTGGGTGGGGCTGGGACTGAACCCCGACATCGGCCTGGCCGCTCTGGCAGCGCTCTCCCGCCTGTGCCCTGCAGCGAGCTCGGTCTGATTTAGGAGTAGTGGAGAGGCATCATTCCTCCCATCACAGAGAAACCGGTCTGGCGAATTTCCAGAACCTTAGGGCTGTTAGAGACTGGCTCCCCCTGGCTATCCTGGCTCCCTGAATACGCGCATTATTTCCCACAAAACACACAAGGGCGAGTGACTGCAATAGATGGCCTTGTACTCTTTGCCCACTTGAGATTTCAGATGGCGAGAAGACTTGGTTCACCTGTTGGAAAAAATGCATTTCCGACAAATAGCTTCCACATGAAAAAATGAGTCACGGCCAGTCTCAGCCTCCCTGAGGTTGGCTCTCTCTGGCCTCCCCTGGGGACGTACAGCTTGCAAGCTGCCGGTCAAAGGCCGCAGCACGGTCCAAGCAGACGTGCATGAGTAAATGCAGCCTGCATCCGCGTGGCTGCCAGCTCACCTCCCAGGAATCCCAGACCAGGGCTTGGAGAAATCCTGGAAAAGGACGTGGTGAAAAGCCGAAGAGTGGCTGAGAGGATAGAGAAGGATGGGACTGCAGGAGAGCTGAGTCCTTTTCCGTCTGTCTCCACAAGTCGTTGGAGACCTTAATTAAACCCCCTCCTGTCACAATCTCCCGTGTCTGCGAAAGAAGGATAATTATTGCTGCCCTTTCCTCTGCCCTTTGGTAACTTCTCAGGGGTGTCCGGGGAGGTTATGAAGATTAATACGCCAAGTGCTTGGAGAGTGCTTCACATCCTCACAAGGGAGAGAACGGCAGATCAAAATCCATTGCTCCGGGAGCAGGAGGGGCCAGATTCCAGAGGCCGGCAAAGCTCTGGCCAGCTCTGGCTTCTCTGTGAGTTGTGGAGGAGAGCAGTAAAAGTTGGTCACTTGTCCCTGCTCCCTCCCACCAGGGTCTTTGCCATAGGGCGTGTGCACTCATTGGAGAGACAGAGAAACATTGAGATGGAAAGTGAGAAATCACTGCACCCCAGGGGGTAGAGGCATGCCACAGTCCTTTCTTCTTCATTCTCCTGGGATCCGGAGCATGCACACGTACACGCTCAGTGTGACTTTAGAGCTGCCAGGTCTGAGATTAGAACCACAGGCCAGGTGGGAGTCCAGTACCTTAACCACTATGCCACCTGCTGACCCAAGTTGGTCAGGTTTTAATCATCAACGTACACAGACAAATCTAAATAATGCCGATGGTAAAAATCTTCCTTTTTCTACAGTGGAAGGAGGTTGTGCATGTACGAGAGGGTGAAGGATGGGGCAAGGAGACAGCTCCACTCATTCCATCCCTGTTTGGGGGTGGGGGAACGAAACAGAAAAGCAAACATGAACACAGGATGACACCAGGTTTGGGGTAGGAGGATGATTCTGGGTTTTTACCCTGTCACTTAGAAATGACGTTCTCTGCTCCCCCTGTCAGAGAAGTGGAGGCTAGCAGGCGTCCATTTTGCTTCTGGTCATGTAATAATCTACAAGGTCACTCGAGAGCCCCGTGGGTCGTCACCTTCCTCTGGCTTGGCCCTCCATTCAGCTGGTGGCTGAGGAAGGACAGGCTCTTGTGTGGGTCTGAGGGAGGTTCTAATAGAACAGTTCTGGAAGCGGGGCGTGTTATCCTTCTCGTGTTCTGTTGGCCAGAACTGGGCCAGTGGTAGATGTTTACCTCAAGGGAGACCAAGGAGGAGACTCACCGTGAGACCAGAAATGGAAGGAAATGAGTTTGCCCTACGATTATTTGGTCCCTACCATCTAGGAAAGGGAGCAAAACCTCACCTGGTCAGAACGGGCTTCAGTCTATGCCCAAAGCTGTGAGGTGGGGAGTAGCTTGGCAACAAGGTCGCAGGTGACTTCACGCAAAAACACATGGCCCCATAAGCACTGGGCGCTAACTCTGACCACCTAAGGAAACACTGTGAAAATAGAGTATTATAAAGCTTCGTGACAGAGGGCAATAATGCTAGCTTTACTGAGAAGAGGTACTTTCCTCCATGTCACTGAAAGTTATAGGAGCCAGTGACACATTTTAGAACGACTCAGACAGACAATAAACACACATCAGGACACACAGACATGGCAACCGAAGAAGCAGAGAAAGAGAGCCTAGAATTCACACTTTGGGGTGAGTTACAAAGAATTTAGACTTTGACAAGAAATCTCTCTCAACTGATCTATATTTTAAAAATAATTCTGGGGTGAGCAGGTGGTGGTAGTGGTTAAGGCACTGGACTCCCACATGGCCTACCCTGGTTCAAGTCCTGGAACGGGGGACTTGAGATTTACTTTTTCACTTTCCCTCTCTCTTTCTCTGTCTCTCTCTGGTGAGTGCATATGCCCTCTGGCAAATTACACAACAACAATAATAATAAATAACTATTTTTCAAAAAGTTATGCACATGCAAGCATTCTTCAAAAAGTCCATGGAAAATGCACATTATGAAAAAGTTGTGCTTGAATTTCTTAAGTATTTTGCACTGAAATAAACTCATATTTTGATTCCATTTTTTTCAGGAACTTTTTGAAGTTCCTTGCGGCTAAATGTGTATTCCAATAACCCAGTAGGTGTCCAATTCTCTGTAAATGACAGTGGTCACCACCTAGAACACAGAGCTCTCTCCTCCTCCGGCGTTCGGCATTCGCTATCAGTGAGGTTAGATTTAAATAGTAAATCAGAGGTAGCTGACCTCTGGCTGGCTTTAGAATTTCAAAGTGGCCTGATTTCTACTTACTTTCCTTCATCAGTTCTTACATCTAAAATCTTTGAAGCAAATCTGTTCAAACTCGGTTTGCTTTGGATAATCTTAAGACTTAATTGACCTTGTGGCTTCACAGGTATGAGTACTTTTCCATTACCATGGGATAAAAATAGCACTTCTGTGCAGAATGGTGGTACTTATGCTGGAAACTAGTTTCAACCCTAGAATCTACTTGGAGTTTCTCAACTGATCACCGCTGCAACTGTCATAGCTGTGCCGTCTCCCGTCCTTGGGAGTTACCTGCCCCAAATTTAAAGAAAAAAGGGAAAATAGCAAGAAAATTAGATGAAATATTTAAGTTATTCCTTGAAAAGACAAATATATCAGAAATGGCTATTCCCTGAACTTAATTTCCTGAACTAGAAGCCACAAACTAAGACAACTCCCAGCACAGAACTTTCATCTCATTGGTCATGCTGTCACTTCTCTGCTTTTCAAAATCTCATTTTGCCCTTCTTATTCTGAAAATTGTCTCATACCAACTTCCCTACATTTGTTTGTTTGCTCTAGGGCACATTGTCTTGCTAAAGAGAGACAGAGAGAGAGAAAGGGCAGTAAGAAATCCCCTCCCAGGGAGGATGGACACACCATAATCCTTTCTCCTCCGTTCTCCCCTTGGGATTTCGGACATGTTCGTGCATGTGCTCAGCCTGTTTTTTCAAGCTGCTGGGCCTTAAATTGCACCGTCGGACACGTGGGCTCTGCCTGACCCTCGGCGCCACCTGCTGGACCAGCTGCCATGCTTGTATGCTTTCTCACCAAACCGGTCTCAGAGGTGGGTCTATGAAGGGCACATGGCCAATCTAAGGTCTCAGAGGTGGGTCTATGAAGGGCACATGGCCAATCTAAAACCGGTTCTGCAAGTTTTCCAAGTAAACACTGGACAGAAGGCCCTTCCCTCTGGTTTGACCAAGCCAGGCTCTGTGATGGCAGGAGGTGTTCATGATCAGGGATGTGTATTCCTAAGGAAAAGCCAGTCTTACAGAATGGAAACCCAAAGAAGGTAGCATGTGCCTCCACCAGTGGGTGACAGTCCTTTCTCTTCAGAATTGGGGTAAGGAGCTTTGTAAAATGATGATCGATTAAGGATGCATGTATATGTGCAAGACTGTGTGTGTGTGTGTGTGTGTGGGAGGGGGGTGGATGAGTGGGTGTGGTTGCCCAAATCAAATCAGTTTACATTGAATTTTGATCAACACAACAGCAGCAAGCCCAGTGGCTATGGCTCAGCTGTAGGTTAGTGCCTGGCAGGCCTGGAAGCAATGTGGCAACCCATGTGGTCCAATGGCTTGGACCCTGGGGTCATTTTGAAAAACACAACAAGCGTGCATGGGGGTCCCCAGAACCCTGAGGAGCTGGAGGACTCAGGGGGGAGTGCTCTGATGAGACCCTGTCCAGAGCGTTTTCTCTCTCCATTTCTCCTGTTCATATCGATCCTTTCAGTCAATAAGAAAAGAAAGAAAGGGGGGAAACGACAGCAATGACATGAATTCTTTACAAAACATCTGGCAAAATTTGTGATTGAGATATGTACTCCATGTAGGAGATGATTTTGCTGCTGTTAACTCTTCAATGGCCCCTATGGATGAGCATCGAGGGTCCCGAAGGCTGCTCATGCTCAGAAAATAATCGGGCACTCACTGATACCCCAGCGAAGCTATAGGTCGTCCAAGTTTCCAATTCTCACTCTTCAGGGTAGGAAAATGAGTCTATAGTGTTTGTAGACATTTGCTAAGAGAATGACTAGGCATTATCTAACAGATTTAAAGTTTTGCTGATATGTTATTTATCATGAAGGACATTTATATCGATGAACATTGCTTACTTGAGGAACATAAAATCCTTGCAAAACTGGGCCTACAGAGCAGAAGAAACATCACTTCAATAAAAATAGATTTTTTTGGAATCCAGTTTTTTTTTTTTTGTAATGTCTGAGCTTTAATGTAAAGTAGGAGAGGGATTTGAATTAATTTCTATAATGATTGGGTTTGAATTTACTAAATGACATAATAACCCTAGAATAATCTATAAGAAGTGTGATCTAATTTATCTAGCAATATATAAAGATTAATTGAATGTGCTTTGAAGTGTCTACAGCCCTGCATTTCGGATCCGAAGGTTCTCATTGACCCCAGCTCAGTGCCCTGAAATATTTTCCATCCCCAAGGCTCAGGATAAAGCACGAACAGAAACTCAAATGTATGAATGGTGCGGCTCTTCAAGGTGAAAAAACCTGCTCCTGCTAGGCCTTTCAAACTGCCCCATCACCTTGCAGCACCTCTGAGAGAGAAACATCAACATAGGGGAGAACAAGGAAGGTGCCTTGCGAGGGGATATATTCTCAAATCCTCTCGCTGTGACTCAGACACAACCGTAGTCTATCAGAAAGTAATTCACTAATGCGTTCCATACACAGCCCTCTTGAAAAGATGGATGAGTGTGAAGTTTCTTTAAGCATTTACAATAACTTTGAGTTATATATAAATAATAGGAGACCTATCTAAATTACATAACATTTTTGACTGCTTGATATAGGCTAACATATATAATCTCTTATCCCATTATTTTATGCATTTTGTATTTCATTGAAATTTATATAATCTAAACAGACCCTTTATCTACATAAATATGTCTCTGTGAATAGGTATACATACATATATATGTGTGCAAATGAGTACATATATATGAAAGTGTGTAAATACATATATATGAGTGTATATATATATGTATATATATGCACACACACATACACACACATACATCTCTGACTTTATATACTCAGCACTGTAAGCTTTAAGAAATTAATTGCTTTTAAGGTATTTTTTTATGACAGTCTGTTTGACAGATGAGTGAATCTACTGGAATCTCTAGGAAAGCTGCTTAAAATATTAATAAGTCCAAACAATTTGGGATCTCCAGCAATCTTTATGGAACTAGGCCAAACATTATTTAGACTTCTATTTTGACATTATGTACCAGTAAGCCAGGATTTAGAGAAAATCAATTAAAGAGAAAAATACCAAAATACAGATTCATTCTGGAAGAGTACTCAAAACGGTAGGTCTTAATTTTACCCAGTGTTGTTATTTTGCACCTGCCAGGAAGCCTGTGCACTTGTCAGAAATGGCGAGGGAGCTGGGGGGCTGGGGAAAGCACTCCCAGTGGGATGTGCACCCAGGGGATGTGTCCACACCACGGGCCCTGCTCCTCCATTTCCCCATGCTGTCAGGCTTTCGGGCTTACGCATGCACCTGGAGTGGCTGGGGAGCCACTGCAGCCGGGATGTGAACCACAGTCGGCTGTGTGGGCTCTGGCTCCCTTACTTATTGGGCTAAAGGGTTGCCCCCCCACACACACCCCAATTTTATTTTTTAAACAAATGAACGTTTTTTTCTTGTCAGGGCTTTATCAACAATTTGAAGACTTAGGATACCCTTTGAAAGACCCAAGCTTCTTTTTCCATCTTATCCTTTGCTCTTCTATGAGTCCCATGATGCAGCTGAACAGACCTGAGACCTGCCCTTGGCCATTCCATTAGCCGGTCCAGACAGATCTGATCTGTCAACCCTGTTTTCCCACCTGAAGTTCCATGAACCTGAGCCTCCCTGACCTTCCAACCATTTGTTTATACTAAAAAGCTGGTAATAATAAAATCTGCCTTGCAGCCTTACTGGGGTCCTTTTAAATAATACTTGGGGGCCACCCAGTGATGTGGTGGTTGAAGCGACTGGATCTCAAATGGCCAGCTGCATGGCTCAAGTTCCAGACTCACTGGCTTAGAAAACATGCCAGGTGCATATGTGTGTGTGCTCAAAATCCCGGAAGGAGAAGTGGAGGAGAAGGGATTGTGGTGTGGCCATCCCCCATGGGTGTCATCTCACTCTCTTTCTCTCTGATGAGCACACACATCCTCCAGCAAATAAAAATAGCAATAATAGTTGCAAAGCACTTAGTACGTAGAAGGTGCACTCAAAGACGCACTTGGTATTTTTGCTATCTATGCTTTCTGTTTCTTCCAGATTGTGAGTTATTTGGGAACAACAACTCAAAACTCTTATATCTTCTGGACTTAGAAAAATACGTTACATAGAAAGTGTGCTCACTGAGTAATGGAGCGTGTCTGCCCGCAGTTTGGCTCACTGTTCGGTCCGTGACTCTTTACTGCTTATATGTTATACTTTGGCAAACCTGATTCAAATTGCTGATCATTGATCATTGTCTCATGTCTTCTTCTGTTGTAAGCATCAGAAACTTAAATGCTGTGCAGTTATTGAATATGTCAGGCAGTTTAATCTTAATGATTTTGCACATTCTGTTCCTTTTACCTACAATGTCCTTGAGACAGACATTTAATTGAATAAATATTTTTGAGCATCCTCTGTAGCAGGTATTGTGCAAGATCCCATGAAGTAGACAGCTCTGAGCAAATCAAACATGGTCCTTCCCTTGACTAAATCATCCCTTCCTCCTGAGGAGCTTCTGTGTACTCCTCAATAGTGGTACGAGGAGTTTGGCTGGGAGCAGTGGGGAAGGTTTGCCCCATAGAAAAGATGATTTAATTGTTGACATTGCTTATTATTGTTGGCCCAGGTAAACAAAAAGAAGATTAATGTTTAATCAGTTTGATTATTATTTTAAGCTATTTACAGACAATGCATAGCCTCATTGCCTGCATGCAGGCTAGATGGTTCCTTTGCAACCCCAGAAACAATAAAAAGGGGGCTTTGGTAAAATAGTGTAAGGCATGAGGGGATACAGTCATCTTTGAACATGATTAAGGGCAGAAGATGGACTGGCAGCTTATCATTCCTCATGGAAAACAGTGCATGGTATGCATGTGAGGCTTTTCCACTCAGTAGCCAGGCTACCATGAGACCGTGGAAGTGACCGACTTTCTTCTAGCGTCGGGACTTAAAACCCTCATTTTATCTCTTGGTGGAAAGAGCTCAAGAGGATAAAAACCCTTGTATGTGTTGAGAGGATTTAATGGTTTGTGGAGAGTTAAAAAATGAGTGTGAGAGAAGACCCATCAGGGTGGAGGAAAAGAAATTTCCAAACCTTGAAAGTACAGGATTAAGGACAAGTAGGAGTTTAGGATGCCATTTCAGGAGCTAACATAATTCTCTCCTGTATTCTACTCTCTTATGAGCCTTAAATGTCGAATGCCATGTTATTGAACTCGAATTAAACATCTGATGGTGTATGTGATTTTGAGTGTCTCATTAGCTATTACTAAGACTAATCTGAAATCTACTACAGCATATAATTTAATTATGTGATTATGTATACAGGTAACTAACAAAAACGAGTTTGGGGCAATTATCTTTTCTCCTCTCTGTTGTTACAGAATTGAGTTTAGCATAATTCTGGAACTGAAGGAGGCCATGTCTCCTGCAACGTTCATGTTGATTGCTTCCAGAAACTCTGGAAATGTTTGTTGACATAACTACATTCGCTTTTAATGAGCAATGGAGAGGCCAGGTTGAGTCACCAAAGATCTTGTCATCTCAGAGAATATTTAGGAAAAAGGACTTCATTCCATAAGTTAGCCATGTGTTTCTTTTACTTTACTAGTAAGGGTGGGACAGGTCAGTTGAAAATGATGGATTGCCCTGTACGCAGCTACTGAAATCCTGCAACGTCATTGGGTGACGGTGAGCAGAAAACAGCAAGTTTGCTGGCAACGAAATGAATTGTCCTGAGGGGACATTACCATTCCTGGCGGTTCTGCACTTCAGACCCGAAGGCCCAGAACATTTCCCTTGCATTGACTGTTTTCCTTGTCTTCTTCCCGTATTTTTTTGATATCTTTTAAATTCTGATTTTATTATTTTTGATATAAACATTCAATTAGTCTTACCTAGAGATCAGCAGTCAGCCTTGATGGGATTTATTATGCTGCATTGTATGGCTGCATGTTTGATGAATACTACAAGTCTCTTGTACCTGTCCCGTTAAGAAGCCATTCTGTTTCATTGGTTCCTTCCTCATAGTTTCAAGTTCCATTTATTTATTTATTACACCCTAGATCCTGAGTCAGAGAGAGATCTCTGACTTGGAGGGTCAAATTACATCTGGCCAACTAATGGAGTCATACTTCAATTAGTGCAATAAAAACCTAAATGGTACCCCTACAAAGGTGAGACTATAACCGGATGTTAAAGGGGGATACACAGAGAACCAGGCGATTCTAAGCTGATTCCTGAAGAAAGATACAGTGCAGATGTGGCAGGAAATTTGCCCTTGGCTAAAAAAGTCTGGACTCAATCTGTTGCTTTTAAAGTAGTCACTTTATTCAAAATCTAACTCATACAACATATTTATACTTTTGATGTATGTAGTTCCCTGGTTATTAATATATTCATAGAGTTATGAAACCCCCATCGCTATATAATTTTAGAATATTTTTATCACTCGAGAATGAAATCCTGCATCTTTTCGTACTCTATCCCCATTTTTTTTCTCTCTCTGGTTTTTGTCAACTGGTATTTTACTTACTTTATATTTCCCTGTTCTGGATACTTCCTATAAATGGCATGAGACAATAAGCAGGTTTTTTTCCTATTTCTTTTTTTTTCAGTTAGGCAGAGATAGAAAAAGGAAACTTTTCCTCACTCACTGAGTTCTTGTAAGACCACAGTACTGTACTATGCATGAAAAAGTAAGTCCTCAAAAAAGCAAAAATGAGAGACCTGCACTTAGAGTAATGGCTACGTCGCGGGACTCCCATGTAGTTGACCGCGATTCAAGTCCTGGACCCGGCAGCTTAAACTCATGCTGGACGTGTGTGCATGAGTGCCCAAGATCTCAAGAGGAGAATGGAGGAGAAGGGATTGCGGCGTGGCCATCCCCCCGGGGGGTGATTTCTCGCTTTCTGTCCTCTGTCTCTCTCTGTCTTTCTGGCTAGCGCATGCGCCCTATAGCGAAAACCTCTCCAAAAAAAAACCAAAAAAGCAAAAACGAAATGGGAAAGAGAGGCTTAAAAGTGAAGACATGATGAAATCAGTGATTTAGTGACTTACAGGTTTCATGAAATTCTTCATTTTAGCCTTCTTTAAATTCCTTCCAAAGAAAGACTCAGCTACTTGTAACATTTTGGACTTTTTTCATTATCTAGTTTTATACGATGGCTAATGGTTATAATAGTAAACATGCAAATGCAATATGAAACATGTTGAGACAACTTTATCAAATAACTGATGAATTTGTACTTAAACCTGATTGTGTGCAAAACAGTTGAATCTGTTTCCTGGAAAATGTAATCGTTGCGACAGTCATGCTTATCACTTTAGTTAAGCAAAAGAAATGGGCAGGGTATCATAGAGGTGTACAAAACTTAACAGTTAAAATGATTCTTAACAGCCCTTCTGAGAAACTAAAGATGGAAAATATGTAGTATCTATTTCTGTAATAAGGTGGTTTTCATCCATTACAGTAATCTTCTTTCAGCTCATGCATTCAAAAACCGGCGGTTCTTGATCACTGAAAACTAAGTTCAAAGCACATTCCTTCTCAACACACTGATGAAGCTACAAATATTACATTCCAAAACATTTAATCTATGTCTTTGTAAACGAGGTTTGTCTCTTGAAAGCAACACAGAGAGAGGTCCTGTTTTGTTTTTGTTTGTTTGTTTGTTCCTTTGTTTTTTATCCTTTGAGCCAGTCTGGTCCTATTAGTTAGGGAATTTAATATATTGACATTCAATATTATTATTGGGATGTAAGAGCTTATCTTGGTCATTTTGTTACTTTTTTTTTTTCTAATTGTTTTGTGTTTTTTCACTTCTATTTACTTCTCTTTAGTTTTCCTGGTATAGTATTCCCGTAATATGTCCTAAAGGACTTGTAAAATGTTGGTGAATTCTTTCAGCCTTTGTTTATCTGGGAATGATTTTATTCCTCCTTCCCATTTGAAGGGTGATCTTGCTGGGTATAGTACTCTTGGTTGAGATTTAATTTTTTCTTTCAGAGTTTTAAATATGTCTTCCCATTCTTTTCTTGCCTGCATTATTTCCATTGAGAGCTCTGATGTAAGCTTATTGGGATCATTTTTGTAAGCAACTTGCTGTTTCTCTCTCTCTTTTTAGAATATTGTCTTGGATTTGTACCAATGTGGCTGTGATGTGCCTTGCAGAGGACCTTGGTGTGCTTTGTCTTTCCTGGATCTGGATGTCCACACAACTTTCTCAATCTGGGAACTTTTCAGGTACTGTCATAGAAGAGATTTTTCTACACCTTTACCTGTCTCCTCACCTTCTGGAATACCTAGTATACATATACTTGGCTATTTAATAGTGTTTAGGATTTTCTGTATGTTGTTCTAATTTTCAGTGGTTACTTTTCCATTCCTTTTGGTTGTTCGGACTAAATCAGAGGTTTTGTCTTTAAGGTCAGACATTCTTTCTTCTGTGTGGTCTCATCTGTTTTTGATACTTTCAAGGGAGGTTTTGATTTCCTGCATTGTATTTTTTATCTCCAGAAGTTCTTTTTGATTCTTTCTGAGGCTCTTTACAGACAGCTTTTCTCATCTCCTGCAACTGGCTGGCTGTCCTCTTGCATCACCATGAGTTTTGTTTTGAGGAATAGTTTGCATTCCTGGCATTTCTGTGATCTCTTCTATTTTAGCCATTGTTGATGAGGCGTGTTATGCTCCTTTTGGGGAGGTATTTCCTGGTTTTCTTCTATCTCTTGGGACTCTGCTTTGATTTTTAGTCATCTGGTGATGGCCTCACTTCTTCCTCCTTCTGTGGAGTGGGTTTCTGCAGCTGTGTGCTTGTGCCCTTCCTTGGGATGTGCATTAGATCTGTGCCTGTTTCCCTCCTCTACTGTGGGGGAAAGTGTGGAATCCACAGTGGGGATTTCAGGTTTAAATGCGCAAAAGGAAGTTTCTCTCTTTTTGGTGCTCAGGGAGTTGTGAGGATAGACTTTCTCCAAACTGTGGGAGACATTGGGGCAGGCAAAGACTTTTTAAATTAGACACCCAAAGCACAGGCAATATTCCCCAAAATAGACAAATGAGGTTATGTCAGATTAAAAAGTTTCTGCACAGCAAAAGACACAGTAATTAGTGTGACTTGACAACCCTCAGAATAGGAGAATATTTTTGAAAACTATGCCTCAGATCAGGGACTAATAACTACAACACACAGGGAACTCAAGTGACTTAACCTAAAAAAAAAAAAAAGATTATCTCAATTAAAAAATGGGAAAATAAGTTGAAAAGGAAGACATATGAACAGCAAAAAAGTGTATGAAAAACTGCTTACCATTCCTCATCATAAGGGAGATGCAGATCAAAACCACAAGGGGACACTACTGAACCCCTGTCAGAACATAAACTGGAGGTATTATGGCGTGACCGTGTCCTAATGCCCTAATGGAGCTGCTTTCTCCCTCTCTCTCTCTCTCTGTGTGTCTCTCTGGTGAACAACTGTGACCTCTGGCAATTTAAAAAAAAAAAAAGGAAAATCTTAATCTAGTAACCTAACTTTCAAAACACTTAAATATATAAACAAATGAAATCCAAGGCAGTCAGAAAGAAAGAAAACATAGAGATTGGACTAGACATGGATGCAAGAAGAAATAGAAAAATAACAAAGTCAATGAAACTAAAAGTTGGGATTTTTTCAAAGGACAATAAAATTTATAAACTGACAAGGGGGAAAATTCTTCCAAACCTGTACAGCTGTTAGCATAAGGAAGTGGTGACCAGTTGCAGAAGGGAACGCTGGCCCAGCTATGATGGAACAGGTGATGGCCTGCCAGGCTGCGGTACTGGAAGCCACGTGGGAGCCATGGTTTAAACCCTAGCCCAGGTGGGCCATGGCATGCTGGCCGTGTGTGGCCTCCTTGATCTAATGGGCTGGAGGACTCGAGGAGAGGAATTGTGGCATGAGTGTGACCTCGTGAAGGGCGCTCTTCTCTCCCTTCGCTCTCTCATTCTCACTTAGGCACGTGTGTTCTATCATGAACAAAGAAAAAGTTAGCATTAATAGAGTTGGTATCTCTTCAAGTCATTTTAAATAAAGTAGCAGGTACTCATTTGGGGTAACTCTGTGTATTTCCTCAACCTCATCCAAATATTGGCTGAAAATATCTACCTCATCAAATTCAATGGAAGCTCATAAAGTTCATTGTTGAAATGTACAGTCTGGTGTATGATTCGAGTAGCCGCTCAGTGAATCTCTGCTTCTGACTGGCAGTTCTCTGTGCACGTCCATCACTCCTGTGCTTTCATGACATCTCACACGATGGGCTTTCTGCTGAACTGAGTGAGGCATTCTGCTCAGCGTTCAGGAACATGTTCAGAAATGTTGACGTGTTCTCTGCGTCTCTTGCCCATGACGATATGGCCTCTTGGAGGCAGGAAGGCTCCAACCTCCAACTACCATCCATTGTGAGAACACAGACCATCCTTCTGAGAACAGGTTAATTGATCTCACTGTTTCTAAATAATGCTCATCTTTACAATTGAGAGGAACATAGAGGTGCACCAAAGAATCGGTATGAACATCAAGCAGCCTTATAAAATTTAACGATCTCATAAATTAAGATTTAATCTGAGGCACAAATTAAGAGTTCAAAATATGTTTTTTGCTTTTTATCTTTGCCTCTTTCTCCTTCCCTGGCAGTGTATGTTTTCATATTGTCAATGCCATAGGAGGCAGAATTCCATCAAATAAACAGAACATCTATTGAAGCTTGAAAATGAGTCTTTCTAACATGCTGGTTACAGCAACAGCAGTTTCTTCTGAAAGTCATGCCATGTGGCTAGAATCAAGCAGATGTTTTAGCTGCCCTCACCTTGGCTCACGAGGAATGGATTGCTTATTTCCTCTTCTGTTTACTTCCCCAAAAGTAAGCCTGGAAGTGGATCTCTGGCTTCGTGATGTTAAAAGAATCATTAGCTTCTCCCATTCACATAGCCAAGTCATGAGTTTTGTTGAGGATTGTGAGTACGCTAGCACAGTAGGGGTTAAAGGCTTGCCTCACAAACCCTTCCCACAACCACAAAAATTACTAGAATCGTTGACAGAGGAACATATGGGAAATGGTTGCTTTAATCAAATAAGCCTTTTGTATTGCCTTTTACTGGAGGATTACTTCTCATTAGCTCGTATTAAGTGATACAGTAACCATGGCAATGATCTGCCTATTTCACAGATGCTACGGAACACATGGCATCTGGGGAGCTGTGTGGCTGTCAGATGATCCTCTCTAGCAAAACCGATCAGGTAGTTATAAAGCAAAATTTCATTTCTGCTCTGTGCCAGAAACCTTGAACACGAATGTTCTGAGGCAGCCCTCCAGAATAGCATCGTTCCGTAGAACTCATGCACACGGTGAACCCGTTTTAGGTTGGCAGGGCACAGTGCAGCAGCGATTAACCGGTAGGGGCTCTGGAGCATTTCAAATGTGACTGGGGAGACTGAGGAAGTAAATCATGCATTTCATTTCATTCTAATTAAGTACAGTTTAAACGTAAATGGCCTCGTATTGCCAGTGACTGTTTTAATGGATGTGGAGCTCTTGACTGACTGGAAAAGCGACCACATTTATATCGAAATTTGAACAAGTTGGAGGACTCTCAATACTTGGTCAGTCACGTTTTTTTTAATCTTTTTTTTTTTTTTTAAAGAAAAAGACGCCCAACCTATTCTTACAGGATCTGAAATTTGATTAAAATCATGAAATCTAAATTGCCTTAAGGAGCATGAAGGGGATAGCGACCCCCCTTCCCACTCATAACCAGTTATTCTCCCCTCCTTTCCGCCCCTTCTTCATAGTTACGTTTAACGATTTCATTCTTCAGCCATCACCTCTCATGTTTCCATTTCCCTGGCTCCAGCTCATTTTCCCCCATCCTGTCCTATGCACCTTTGATGCCCTCAATCAATGTCTGTGTATTTCTCACCCTCGCGTCCCTTCCTTCCCTCTTACTCGGCCTCCCGATTCTTTAATAAAGGCAGTCCTCGCCTAGGCCGCTAACCGCTCCTCTTCGAATTACCTGCTGGTAAGACCGTAACTGACCCTCACTAAATGCAGCCATTACCTGAATGGGGACAAGCTGAGCTTGGCTTGGGGGGACTTTCATTACCATACCTCATCTTACACCCGTAAGTGCTCAAAGGCTATTGCCCTTCAGTGCAAATTCCTTCCCTTGTCCTTTCTTTTCCTCTCTGTCCATGAGATTTGCGATCTTCTTTCTCTCGGTCACCCAACACATGCTCAGTCCTTTGGGATTTCTGGTGATGACACAGGGAGAGAATGAGGAGGGCCGCCCAGACTCCCGTGACCACACTGATAGCCTGGCCGGTGGCGCGGGCCTTGCCCCTGTTCTGATGCATGACTCGCTGTGATCTGCTGGCAGCTCATCCACAGGTGCACGGCGTCCCTCCCACCCCCTCCTGCATCAGGACACCTACGGCCTCACTTCTATCTGCATCCAGCCTCTCTACTCTCTTAAGAACAATGACCCCCGACTTCCAAACTCCTCCGGGCAACTGCTTTACATTTATACTTGTTCCTCTCGAGGAGAAACTGCAGTCTCTGTTACCTGCCTTCAGAGCCTCTCCTCTCGTTTTACTTATTTACCTATTTCTTAAGCCCAGGGAGGCTTTCTTCCTCTTACACCCACCCTAATCACTTTTGTTGGTTCTAATTTGCTAAAAAAAAACTTTATACACTTGGTGTTTAGGAAATCACTTTGTCACAATTCTATATCTCCGGTTGTTTCTAGATGACTCCCAGCAGGAGCGCTGCTCTGACCCTCGGCCACCATACTTAATGGCTCCAAATGGCAAAGAGGCACACATCTCCCGCAGTCCTGAATCCAGACCATGTCCAACTGCGTAGCGCGTATCTCTGCTTGGGATGTACATGCATCGCCACGCGTGACCCTACCCGCCCTCCCTGCCTTCCCCTTCATTTTCCTAGTGACTGACCTTTCTGCTTCTACTTTTGCCACTCCCCATCTGTCCTCACAACCCTATGGGTTTTCCGCCATCTCTTTGCTCTTTTAAAAAATAGAATAAATAAGAAATAGATGAGTCACAGTAACAGTAGGCAATACTTCTAACTCTACCCTCTCCTAGAGAACCATAGAACACATTAGCATAATAAATCATCTGAGAAATGTCATTTTATGGAATAAACTATCCCAGTGTTTAGTTTTATTGAACCCAAGTTACCCAGTTCCTTTTGGTTTCAAACCCCTTATTTTTCATAAGCATATTTATTAATCAGAATGCTTAAAACTGCTGCAGAAACTCAACCCTAGCTTGCCAGAGCAGGTAAAGAGATCAACTGCATCAAATAATTTCTTTGAACAAAAATGAAGCTCCTGCACTGTTAGATCCAGTGACCAAACAATGCCATTTGTCAGTCTCTAGATGGTGTTTTCTCTGTATGCCTATCCTGAAATGGTTAAAACATAAACAAGAGCTGGCCTTGTAGAGCAGCAGCTAGGTACTGTGCAGAGGATGCTGGATTCCACACAGCTGACCAAGGTTTGAGTTCTAGCCCCAGAGGCTTGGAAAAATTCTCCAGCCATGTGCATGTGCCCAGGATCCTCATGGGATCCTAGAGGAAAACAGGAATTGGAAGAAAATCAATTGCAGGAAAATGAATCGTGATATGATCAAGCCTCATTGGAGATTTTCTCATACATATACTCTCTAGCATAAAAAATAAACACACAAATATACATCAACTAAATAAAAAGAAAAATCACAAGCAACACCAATGCTAACCTTTCTATGAGAATAGAAATCCTCAGAATGGAAGAAGCAACGATTTTGTTATTGTTTCTGTTTACGTTTTGATTTTGTTTTGAAATGAATTTTAAAAGCAGTGTCAGAGTGGCCTCTTAGTAGCCCAGATCAGATGCTGTCACAATGACCAGAATGAGGTGAAGGTACACTGTTTGGCTGCTCAACTTATGTCAGATGTTATCCTGTGGAGTGATGTAGGGTCATTGGGGTCATGCTCATCATTCAAAGCACAGAAACTTGGAGTTGGGGAGATAATTCCCTTAGAATAGCAAAGGGTTCAAGAGACCTTTCCCATAAGGGAAGAGATAACTAAACAAGGACATTTCTCCCTCGCTCTCCCTCCATTCCTCTCTTCTCCTCTATCATAAATTTTATAACCCTTGGGGACCAAAGGGTTAAGCTCCAAACAGCCCCAGTGCCAGCGAGGCCATCTGAGATCTTTCCCTTTCTCTCTCCCTCTCCTCCTCTTACTTTCTCCCTCCTTTGCTCCCTTCCCTCTCTTTCTTCCTTTTCACCTCTCCATCCGGTCATGCCATCTCTTTCTCCCTCACTGAGATCCCTGATCTTGCCGTGCCTTGTGCCCTCTTACCTGTGGGGACACGTTTAAGAGAGAGAGTCTGAGGTGTGGGGACATGCTCTGAGCAAACACACCTGCTCTTTTGGGGGTTGGCAGAACCTTGTAACTTGTCTTTCCTTGACCTTGGTTGCAGGCAGCAAGGGTGGAGATGACTAGGGGTGTTCCAACAGACACATCTGATGAACTTCAAGAAACACCTTGACCCCAATTAGTAAAATTCAATCCCTGCTCTGCATCTGAAAGGTTCTTTAGCCTACTCTGGGTGTGGTGGTACACTCCTTATGGAGAAGTTCTTTAGCTCCTTCCCCACACCTAACAGCTAGTTCTCTGCATTAGAAAAGAAGATGAGATTTTCTCTAGACGGGATTACCACCAAGGGATACACCTTGCCCCAGGAATGACTAATCTCTTACAGACTTGTTAACTGCTTCTTATTGTCTGTAACCTGGCAACCAATCCATGAAGTGTCATGAAACATACATGTGTAAGTCTCCTTGTACTATAAGTAAAGACGTCCAGTTCATCTGGGCGGCACAAGTTGCTTGGGCTACCTAGGCTCAGGCTGCCTGTGTCCGTTTCCACTCTCTCCCTTTGTCTCATTCTTTCCAATTCCCAGGTCCTGGCAAGATGGAGGGCTTTCTCTTTCTCGTCCTCTTTCTCTTCCTCACCAGCAGCCCCCTGATCATGATTCAGTCAGACCCAAGCCCTGGGGCAGACACCGACACTTACCAGCCTGCCTTGCTTCAAGTTCCCACTGCCTTGGCCTCCTTGCTGTCCTGAAAACTCTCTGATCGCACTTCATTGCAGAATTTCTGTTCTTGATGGTCTCCACTTACTACACTCTTGACAAAAATACCTGTCCGATCTGCCGCCTCCTGCTCCCACACTTCTCTGCTGTGCTGATCAGTCAGAGCTCCCAAGCATCCCGCGTCCGATGGTACTGCTACTCTCACTCTCTGTCACTCCTCCTCTGCTGTATTTTTCTTCATAAGACCCAACATCCTGAGGCAAAGTATTTATTATTTCGTGTATATTCTATTGCTTTTACCCTTTTATAAAGAATGGAAATGTTTGAAGTACAATAAAATATTCTCTGCTGTATTCTTAGGTGTTAAATTGACACAAGGAAGACAGTTTATCTATTCTATATCGGCCATTGCATAATTAGAGAAAAATGTGGAAAACGTCCCCTTTTCACAGAGATTTTTATGCTCAACGGCTTCCAGGGTAGGTCAGGAATCATCTAAGATATCTAAACAATTGAGGTTGGCAACAATACCCCTACTCCGTGTTCATGGAAACTTAGAACTGGGGAGCTGGTATTACTCTTCAGATTGTCTAAACATTTTAGAGACATAAAATCCAGAGATTGTAAAGGAAGAACTTCTTTAAAATTAAGGGACAGCTAATGACTTGGTGAGGCTAATGTCACTGCCATGTGTGTGTACGCGTGTCTGTCGTGTGTGAGAGAGACAGAGAGGGAGGAGAGGAATCCTGTTATTGATGAAGGTGCGGTACAGTGCGGTGTCTACCCTAGTTTGTCTCCACCGTCTCAAGCTCGTTCAAGCTCTCCCACCAGCTTATTTGATTACAACCACAAACCTACCCAACAAGACAAGCAAGAAATGATGGAAGAGGGATGGAGAACGAGGGAGGAGTACAGAGGCACTAAGGTGTGCAGGAGGGTAGAAAGGTCCAAGGGCACAGAGTTAAGAACAGGCTTCAGGGTTAAATTTGACCTCAAATCTCGAGCGACTTGTATAGATCATTTAATTATTCTGGTTTTTTTCTTTAATTTCATCATCTCTAAAATGTTGGTTATCCTCAAACCCGTAACATATGGTTGGGAGGATAAGAACTTACAGCACTTCTAAATTGCTTGGCATAAAGACAGTAGAGACAGAACTGGTGTGGCGATTACATCTTAGCGTGGATTTGTCACTGCAGGAACTAACGTTTCCCCCTAGAGCTCCAGAACCTAATTTGGTGCCTGACAGACACTGAGCACACACTGAATATGTGTTGATTAAACTAAAAGGTTGCTGATCTTCACCTTTCCTTCTAAGCAGAAATTCATCCCTCTCCCCCACCAATTCTCGCCCTTCCAATTCATCAGTGGAAAATAGTCATTATTGTGTAGTGAAGTAGTGGCCTTGCAATGTGAGTACCTGGTCTTCCATTTTACCGAGGTAGCTTTCAGTCTGTTACATGGACTAACACCGTGTGCCTTACCTGCCTCAATAACTGTAGGAATCATGAGTGCAGGTAGCTGCAGACAGGAGATGTTACATAAACAGAACTACTGGGATCTTCTCTGTTCGGACATGTGCATGCTGCTGATCTGCCACCCTACAGGTCATCCTTCCGACAGCAGGGAAAATAACCCTCAGACGGAAAGCATAGTCCGCCATTTACTCAATTCAAACGATCAAATGGCTTCTTGATCATCTCAGCTACATCTGAAGTGAGCTGTGTGGTTTCCAGAGCTCCATCTCCTCCCAGGCCCCCTCCCTACCCCTCACCTCTGCTCACTGTGTTCTGGCCCCTCTGGTGTTCGGGCTGCTCATGAGTATGCCATGCACACGCCTTCGCCAGAGCACTTACATCTGATGTGTATTAAATGGGGAGGCTCCCCGACCATGACTCAGTTCCTTATTCCATTCTGCTGTGTGTTCAAATCCCTTCGCTGCTAAAAACCTTCCTCAGAAACCATATCAAAAAGGACCTCCCCTGATACCCTTTTTAATTTGTTTAAAAGAGGTTTTTGCCTTGGGCACGGAGAGAAAGAGACAGAGAGAGAGAGAAGGAAAGTGAGAAATCGCCCCCCGCCCCCTGGAATCACCATGTAGCAGTCCCTTCTCCTCCTTTCTTCTCCGGGCATCTTGGGCTTGTGTTCGCACACAGCTGGTGGGGGTTTCAAGCCGCCAGGTCTGGGACTTGAACCACAGTCAGCTAGTGGGAGTCCAGTGACATAACCACTATGCCATCTGCTGTCCCCTTCACCCCCTTACCCGTTACCCTTAATTCTGATGTGTTTCTTCACAGCACTGTGGTGTTGCCTGGTGACCTGAGTGTGTACTGTGTATGTTCCCCACTCCTATGTGAGTCTGATGAAGGTGGAGAGTTCTCCTTGAAAATGTGTTTTATTCCAGCCTGTAGGGTAGTCTCATAAATCACAGATGCACAGTAAGTATTAGGTTGGATAAAACAATGAGCGTGTGATGGCATGGAGGTCTCCTGACCTGCTCTCATAAAAGGGTATTGAACTCGCTCCACCTCCAATGGAGGGATTACAGTGTCAGACCCCTCTGTCCATACTCCAGCTGTAGCTTTGTCACTCGTTAATCAACAGTCGGAGAAATGGAGAGTTGTCAAACTGCATGACCTGGAAGCTCCGTGCAGAGACTGGCTGAAAGGGGTACTTGGGATCGGGGCTTCAGTTGCTGATGTCCCTCAAGCTCTTCTGTGTCTTCCCACTTCATAGGCCGGGTTCTTGCAGGAAGGGCAGGGTCATTGTTTGTAGAAGGGATTTCAGGGCCAAGAAAACAGCAGCATAATTCAGCTCTGTTTGCGTGAAAGGATGGCTGTCTCTGTCTGGTTCAACAAAACTATTATGGTTCATTATGATG